GTCTGTTTAGTCCAGTTGTTTATTGAGTCGGTTTGGTTCTGTTAGAGTCAAGTATAGGTTTATTTAATATTTATTTATTATTAGAGTTCAAGTCCTAATGGACTCTAGGTAGAACTCTATAAATAGGGATGTAACTGCTTCTTTTCAGTAATCTATGAAAAAACTATTTTTGTCTTGTGACAAACCCTAGGAAGCCGATCCCCTCGAAGTGATCAAGGAGGGCCGATCCCCTCGAAGCGATCAAGGAGGCCGATCCCCTCGGAGCGATCATTATCATCCCCATTTCTCCCCTTTCTTCCACGATAAGACTTTAGGGTCTTATCATTTGGTATCAGAGCCTACGATAAGACTTTAGGATCTTATCAGGTTTATGTTCCCCAAGTGGACAATTTAAGGCGTGAACTCTTAAAAGAGTGTCACGATTCCCTTTGGGCTGGACACCCAGGCATTCACAGAACGTTGGCTCTCATGGAGAGGGCCTTCTACTGGCCGAAGATGGGGACTGATGTGGAGGAATATGTTCGAACATGCCTTACTTGGCAACAAGACAAGGTGGAGCAGCGGAAGCCGGTGGGACTTTTGGAGCCGTTGCCCGTACCAGAAAGGCTGTGGGAGAGCATTTCCTTGGATTTCATATCAAGCTTGCCACTTGTAGGGGGGCTCGGATCGATACTCGTGGTGGTCGATCGGTTTTCGAAGTATGCAACTTTCATTGCTGCTCCCCTACACTGTTCAACAAAGGAGGCGGCCAAGTTGATGATGAAGGATGTAGTGAAGTATTGGGGAGTCCCGTACAATATCATTAGCGATCGAGACGCTAGGTTCCTGGGACGATTCTGGACCGAGCTATTCAAATTGTTGGGGTCAAAGTTATACTTCTCTACAAGCCTCCACCCTCAGACGGATGGCCAGACTGAAAGGATAAACTCACTCTTGGAGCAATATCTCCGGCGCTACGTGAGTGCCAATCAACGAGATTGGGTGAAGCTGTTAGACATTGCCCAATTCTCTTACAACTTGCAGCGGAGCTCTGCATCCAACAAGAGCCCCTTCGAGATCATCATAGGACAACAACCATTGACTCCGCACACCATGGCAATTGGGTATACTGGGAGCAGTCCATCAGCCTATCATTTCGCAAAGGAGTGGCATCGAAATGCAGATATTGCGCGGGCTTACTTGGAGAAGGCGGCAAAAAGGATGAAGAAGTAGGTCGACTTGGGAAGGCGACCGCAAGAGTTCAAAGTTGGTGATTTGGTGTTGATAAAGCTCCAACTAACATTACTCCAATTCTTTAGGAACAGAGTCCATAAAGGATTGGTGCGCAAGTATGAAGGACCCTTCCCAATTATCAACAGGGTAGGCAACGTCTCTTACAAGTTGCAGCTGTCGGCATGGTTCAAAATTCACAACGTTCTTCACGCCAGCAACCTAAAAGCCGACCACTCGGATCCGCAAGATGCTTCCCGAAATGTTCCAACTCGGCTACCTCCCATCACAGCCTCCTATGAGAAGCGAGTGGAAACCATTCTGGCGGACCGCAAGATAAAGCTACCCAACGGAGCTGAGCAGATAGAGTACTTAGTGAAGTGGCGAAAGCTTCCCCGAACTAAAGCCAGTTGGGAGCCTGAATACGTCCTATGACATGAAGAAGAAGTCATCAACAACTACCAACAAGCGTCGATGAGGGCGTCGACAGTTTAAGTAGGGGAGAATGTCACGAACGACCGTCGCGCACCCGCAACAACTTCGTTCAACGAACTGTTCGTCTCTCACACCTACATGTACAGCTGCTTGATAGCATGTTTTCTCTTGGTTTTGGGTCATTTTTGCTTGTAAAAATATAAGTTCGAACAAGCTGCAGCGTTACAAAGTGACCGCTCACCGAACCAAGCAAAACAGCCCCAAAATAGCCCAAAACAACTCCGTTTTCGCGTGCCGCAGGCTGATTTCTGCAATCTGCCTCCGCTCACCAAAACATCAGCTATCTCAGCCCCTTTGAACCCCCTGGGTGGTATAGGGCTGGATGGGGCTTCGGTTATATACCGGGCATTGAACTCTCTTTCGCAAGTTCGCACGTGGCCTTTATGGGAACTTGTTTTCGCGCCCGGGACCAGGTGAGCGGCTGTTTGTGGGCTTGCAGCTGTTCATTCATCCTTCTAAAGCCTTGTTTTCTCCCTCTCCCTCTTTTCTCTTGTGCACGCAAGGTGCTCGCTGAATTGCTTGTAAAGTTTCCCCTTTTCGCGAGACTTCGGGACTTGTCCATTGCTCGTTCTTTCGAACTAACCAACTTTCTCTTTTACAGGCCCTTCGGGACCTGCAAGAGGTTACAAGTGAGGTAATCCTTACGGAGCAATATTGTAAGAGCGAAGCGCGACTTAGGCAACGCAAGCTAAGTTCGTGTCTTTGCCGCAAGGGGTGACTCGTGACTTAGGCAACGCAAGCTAAGTTCGCGTCTTTGGCCGCAAGGGTGCCTCACGCCTTAGGCAATTCCAGCTAAGGCCGTGACAGAACGGTAGATTGTGATGATCATAGCACTTTCAGATCATCATTGGTGCACTTTCGGATACAATGATTGTACGCTTATAGATCACATGAAGGTTTTCTAAATGACATGTAAAGATATACAATTTTGATTTTGATCTATCGGTATTTGATTTTGATTTTAACATTAAATTTTTTTAATAATAATAATATAATTATAATTATAGATTTTATGATTATGCTTCCTTCCCGAGGTCTTTCGAGATTGCAGGTTTGGAATACGTTCTTAAGGATCAACGAGGACAAACTCATAAAAGCTATCAAGTAACGCTCACACAGCCCTGCAAGCTAGTCAAGGCATGCGGATCAAAGCAATTTTTGTAGCATTTGGGCGAGAACCGACTCTCTTCAAACGCTTAGCTTAGTTTTCCGAACAATTTTGATCACTTCCTGAGGAACGTCTCAAACATTTTGTGCCACTGTATTTACATATCTAAAAGGTAAAACATTGTGAAAACAAACAAGACGATTACTTAATGCAATAAAAGAACTTTTTCTGGTATTAAAAGGGAATTCATAAACCCTAACTCTTCTCCTTTTGCTTTTATAGAACATGTGCAAGGAGGAACGACAACGGGATCACGTAAAGGAGCTCAAAATCTTGCTTTCTATTGCTCTTGCGTGCCGAGAGCTCGGCCAAAGACACGGGGTTGGCGGTGCAAAACGTGATGATGAGATCTGGTCAGAGTGAGTTCTCTCACATTATTGTGGTTGGGTCTTAAAGTAGGAAGGAAGAGACGGTATAGGGAGACTTTGTGTCTGCTCTTTCGTCACTTCCGAGTAATGCTTTAGATTTTTGCACTCTTTCTTCTATTGAAAAAAATTATATGTATATATATATATATATACATACATACTTTCGTCACTTCTTAAAGTATATATATATATATATATATATATATATGTATATATGTATATATATATATATATATATATGTATATATGTATATATATATATGTATATATGTATATATATATGTATATATGTATATATATATATGTATATATGTATATATATATATACATACATATATATATATATATATGATTAATAAATTATAAATTATTATGAAAAAGAAAAAATGTCATGGGATTCTCTATAGCCAATTATTTGTGCAATTGTTAAGCTTGATAATGGATGAAATACTAGATAGCACCAAAAAAGTTATTATTGTGGTTGTCATTCACACCACAGAAAATAAATATTAAACATATTAACGATCTCATTTATTGGAATGATTAGAAGGCTTGCTAATTCGCATGGAGATGACAATATTTATATAGATATTTTTGGGTAAAATTTCAGAACGAGTAGGTAGAGAATAGCTACGCGAGATAATTCTCGATACAAAAGGAGAAACCTTACATTTTAGCACATAGAAAGTAACTATCGGTCGTCACTTTCAACACATTACATAAAAGTGTTGAGGAGCACATCTTAAGAAGCCCATATGATCCATATGTTTAAATCTTAAAATATGTTAGTAGGGTGAAAGCCTTTAATAATTGAGCTCTCCTTTCGGATACACTTGGATAAGTAACACTTCTTGGTAAGAAAAATATCATCGATCAATTATTATTCGGCACATATTCAAATTGAAAAAAAAAAGACAAAAGCTATCTCTCATTGGTTCGTTGGCATGCATATAGGTCCAAAGCAGACAATTATGTATTATTTTTATTCTTATCGCCTATATGAAAAAAGAATTAAATTAAAATTATTAAAAATGGTTAAAAGTTGTCTCTCAAAGAATATTTCACATAATATATTATTTATTCACAAAAAATATAAAATCTCACTTTTGACACAATTAATGAATTACTTCTTTTTTTACCATTGACAATCGCAGTCATCTGTCTCGGGTTACTAACTTGGACATCGAATGAATCAACTCGAGAAACCTCTCTTGACCTTGATTTTTTTATAAATGACACCTCGAATAACCTACTCGAAAGCTCGACGTTTCCACCTTAGATGACCTCGAACAATCTCATCAGGAGCTCGGTGTTTCTCCCTCAAAGACTCGAACGTGGATGATACTTTTTTGTTTAGCAAAATTTTTAATCTTAGACATTGTGCGTGCGTGTATAAAGTTTTGCCCCTCCTACTGCATACTAAATTCAGCATGAGGGAAGCTAAGTTGTAGATGTTGATGAGTATGGACACCTGAATTCAGCGAGCCCAGCTGCTGGCTCAAAACAAGGGGCTATTAGTTAGATATTAATCTCTCCAATTGCCGACTTTGTAGTGTTCTTGATGTTGCCAACTTGGGTCAAAAGTACCCTCCCCCTACCTAATTTGGCTCTTTGGTATCTCCTCATGCTGTTTACTTTCCACAGCTTTTCCTTTCACTTTCAGCTTTTCTTCGGTGCCCACTCCACCTAGCTCGAGTTATTTTCATTGTTCTTCTTCTTATTTGTTTTGCTTTAGTTTAGGATGTGGCTACCTCTCACTTCCTATAAATACCAATCAACACCCACAAGAGAAGGCCCATGACAGTGCTGCTACCTCACATCATGTATATTTTGGTCATCTCTCTTCTTCATCAGTTGTCCATCTGATGAACTGAACTCCTCGAGTCTTTTCTGCCTCTCATCGTTTGTCCACGTAAACCCAAGAAGCCTTCGACTCATCCTTCCATGCCGAAACACTTCACCTATTCACTTCTTGTCAAGCTTCGTCATCCACCCTCCCCATTCCCTTCCCTGTCGAAGATGAAGAAGGCTGTTTCTTTCCTCAAGCAGATCGGTACTGTTCTTGCAGCACTACTGAAGGCCAAGACCTTGGGCGTCAAGAGCAAAGCCAGGCTCATGTTCTTCGACCTGCTTCGGAACAAGAAACTCCTCATGAGTGCAATCTCCGGCAAGATCCAGGCACTAAAGGGCCAAGTTAAAGGTGGCCATGGTGGCGAGGGCTACGGCAAGGCAATAGTGATGTACGATGCTGCGAGGGAGGAGGTTCCTCCAAGCCCAGGGCTTATGGAGCCACTCGAGTATGTTGAAGAAGAAGACTACTCGGACCTAACGCACTGTCTCTTTGACATAGATGAGGATGACAGTACGTCCTCCGTCGTAGATTTGGTTCCAAGTCCTCGAGACGATGGTTTATATTTCAACATCGAGGACGAGATCGACCATGTCGCTGATGTATTCATCAGGAGGTTCCGCAGGGAGATGAGGTTGCAGATGCAGGACTCACCGAGAAGGTACCAGGAAATGTTCGACACAAGCACTTGAAACAAAACAAAGACATGCCCTCATTTCTTCTATTTTGTTTTCTATTTCCCATACGACAGGGATTGGCGGAAGATATACCATAATATGTATTCTTAGCTTCAGATTTCAGTTGTAATTTGATTCGATTACTTTTAGTTTTATGCTTACAGGCGTTAGCAAATGACAGTATGTTTTCGAAAGCAAAACCCCCTTAAGTCACTCGGTTTTGGTTCCCCCCCCCCCATTCCAAATGGGTTATATAATTAGTGTAATATTAGGACATGAAGTTTATATCCTAAGATATAATTATTATCCGTATAGATAAAAGGTCAAGAGGGGATGTTAGAGACAATTAGGAGCTACCTCTTTCTAGAATAATCTATGAAATATTTAATCTTCTTATGACCAAAGATAAAAGCTCATTTTTAACACAATAAAAAAGAGGATCACTTTTTAACCACTTGCATTCACACTTATCTATATTAGGTTATTAACTTGGATATTAGAGGGACTAGATTGGAAACTTCTTCGACCTCGATCTTCGTATAGGTGGCACCTTAGGAGTTTGACGTTTTTACCTCCGAGGCACATTGAGCAACCTTATGCACTTGGGTTCGGACTATAGCAGGTTGACCATGACGTTAACGATATCTTCCCATAATATTCTGGCATTAGAATGAGGGCTTGATGTTGTAGAAACGCTTGCCCATCGACCCTCTCAATGAATACTTGACCGAAGAGACTTTGCCCCAGGCCTACGGTACTTTCATCCAAGAGGGGTAGTAACCACCCTTTCTACACATGAGTGCATCCATCTTAACGTAGATGCCAATATGATACTGGCATCTATTCATTGACCCTGATCTTTCACCCTTATGAATGGTCTTAAGCCACCTACTTGTCTCCGCTGTAGTGTTTTTAAATCTCACTCAACAAGTGCAGATACTAATAGATATGATATAGGTCAACATTTCACTTTTGCCTTAGTTAGCCTAATAGGCGGTGCCACTAGCTCAACCGCCATCTATACCCATAGAGGTTTCCCAACCTAATGTGGTGCCAACATCTCAAGGACGCCCGAGACTCATCGAATTATTGATCGAGGGGGCACTTTGGTCTCCGACCATAGAATTCAGTGGACTAGATCCCCACTTAGCCCTTTCCAGATCCAAGTTCTTGTTAAGAGACTCGACGAAGAATTCCATATGGATCTAACTATAGTAGATACACTAATGTTTAGAGGAGATACAATAAGAGCTCCAATAGTCAAACGGGAAAGTGCTAGTTGACCCTACCTCGGGTTATCGCCATTTGCTTAGAAAATCTAAGAGAAAATGATTTCAATTAACTTCCATCTCTTGTCCTTGGAGGTATTCAAAGGTAGTACCATTCTGATGAAACATATTATAGTTTTTAGCACCCAAATACATTACGATACTTCAAATGCCATGATGTACCATACTTTTATGACCATGTTAAGAGGCCTAGCATGAGAATAGTATATTTGCCTATAGTCGCTTTCCATTAATTCTTTTATCAGCTTACAAAAGAGTTCAAACTTTACTTCCTTAGGAACGTATGCTCACGGCCTTCGATGGTAACATTCCTCGGACTTAGGCAGGGTGAGGAAGAAATGCTTGTAGACTTCATTATTAGATACACAAATGATATATGAGATATGGTAGATGCCCATCTATCACTCATAATACAAATATTGATAATGGAGCTCAATCTCTCTTATCGCTTTTAGTCATTAGGCAATTGTACCTAAGATATTTCAAAGGATCAATCAATATATTACTATCGAAGCAATGGTCTTGGACAAGTATGAGGAGTTACATAAGAGGCTGAAGCAAAAGCAACCATAATTAACCTCGATCCTGAGGTCACCATGATAAAAGAGAAATAAATAACCTGAGTTACCTCATCCAAGGTCCAAGCTAACCCCTTAAATATGATTAGAACTAAAGTTTTCCTATAGATAAAAGAGGAGGCTCTTAAAAGACCCTTATTAGCGTAAAACAATAATATGCTATTATTAAGCGGAAGAACTTTAATGCCAAAAATATGAAATAAAAGATATGATCTATCTTAATATTACAATACATATCTTTGATGCTATTCAGAAAATCTTTTCTCTGATCCACAAGTGCACCATCGTTGGATCTTAGATCTATCGAAATATCGATATGTAAGGAGAACTAGACTCACCTTCTCCTCTCTTCTTATCCTTCATAGGACTATTATAATCATTAGATTTAGGGATAAAAGAATATAAGAGAAGCTATGTAATCTCTCAATTATATCATATATCCACACATTTGCATACTTATGTATTCGCGTGTCTGCGCATTCAATTATTGTGTATTTCTTATGTCTCTCTAATCTATAAGAGGTCTAGTCTTTTTATAGATGAGAGCAAAGGTTCTAGGATAAGTAATTAGGAGAGTCTCTTCCATCAAGGTTTCCTCAAGGAATCCTACAATAATTGGACTTCCTTTCTATTGGCCATAACCATAATCAGAATTTAATCATATCCATAATATATCTTATATAATTAAATAGGGTCAAATAATCTAACATTCTCCCACTTAGCCCAGTAAGATACAAAAGGTTTCAAAATAAAAAATAAATAAAATAAAATTTATTTTAAAATAATTTTATTTAATTAAATTTTAAATTTTTTTAGAAAAAGCATTTGCACATACATATATATTTTATAAAAAAAAGCTAATAAGTTTAATAAATATAATAATACTATATTAAGTTTGACTAGCAATACGAGTCATAACGGTTGTATGCCATCAATATTATACTTCCTTTTATATACCATAACAATGTTAGCCCTTCTTAATGTAGTCCAAAATAACCCTTATGATTTGTCTTGTCAAGATAATCCTATCATTATATTTAACCATAATATATACATATATAAAAGTGATTAGGATAACAAAAATAAGTAAATTTAAGTATATAAGCAAGAATGTCAATTATAATATTTACTCAAATATACATCACTATATCTTTTATGAGTGGTTCACAAACCCAATCATAAGAACATATCTTTTCAAATACTTTAGGTTGTAAGTCTTAAGTGAATGAATCAACAATCAATATAGTGAAACATAAGTTCTTAATTGATATTAATTATTTTTAAACTTTTTTCTCTAATCATCAAATACTTTATACCATAATGTATAGAACTATAATAGTACTTATTATTCTTAGAAAAGAAAACTACTGTAATATATCATAAAATATCTTCAGTGACTTGACAATTGAGTTTGATCACACCAAGTCTTGAGATAAAATTTCACAATAACAATAAATTATATATATTTTATATACATAAATATAATAATTATTTTAATATACAATAAAGCTTGTAAACATGACGAAATCAAGCATATGTAGTTTAACATAACAAAAGAATACCTCCATGCCTTGGTAATGAAGGGGGGGGGGGGGTCAGGTGTTCGACCTTCATGCCTCAACTATGAGAGGGGTTTGGTTTTTCCAACACTATGGCTTGACAATGGTGAAAGGGGAAGGTTGGGTGCTCAACCTCCACACCTTAATACTAAGGGGATGGTCAGGTTTCTCATCCTTAATGGATAAAGTGGCAATGAAAAGGGAAGGTCAGGTTCTTAACCACCCTATCTTGAGCGGATAAGGCTTATTTATGCTCGAGGTACCTACATCTTTTGATCATTTTTTTATCGCTAATTGAGTTAGTAGGATTTCTCCCAAAACTAACATAAATTAAAGTCCTAACTGTGATAGTTAAGGCTAAAATAATTACTCTACTTATAATCTAAGTTGTCATGCACGTCAATGGTTCAACCAAACTCTCGGTGAACTTCCGACGAACTCTCGGCAATCTTCCGGCGAGCTTTTGGCGAACTCCCGATGAACCTTCGACGAGTTTTTGGCGAACTCCTGGTGAACCTCCAATGAGCTTTTAGCGAACTCCCGGCAAACTTATGATGAGCTTTCGGTGAACTCCCAACGAACTTTCGGTGAGCTTTCACTACATTGATAATCCTTCAGTGTATCCCCCGATTCATTCGGCCCGATGCCCGATCATTAACTCCAGCCCAACTTCGATTCTACTTTAATTGTTTTGCCTTTCTCACGATTGTAGTTAGTCCTGTATCACTTCTCTCAACACTTGGATTAGATCATTAATTCACCAATTGATTTCATAATCAAAATATGAGATTCAACATGAAGTCCATCCTCCAGCATGTCGACCAATCCTCAGGCCCGACATCTAATCTCTGACATGATGCTCTTCGGCCCAACGTTTAATTCTTCTACTTTAGCAATTTGTCTTTCGATGGTTCAAGTCCATGATCGAAGTTTCAACTACATCACTTATTTCAAACGTTTATTAGTCCATAAACTCATCAATTAATTTTATCATCAAAATTCGAGATTTAATAATATAATCATATATATCTAATTTATATAAGGTGTCAAACTATTAACACCTTTAGGTGCATATAAATAAAGTCAAGAAACAATTAGATAAAAAAGTTAAAATTATCATATCTTACCATAAATTTTATGGTATTTTTTATGAATCTGGTCATAATTCTAGTTTTTTTGTTTGATTTTTGAAAAAGTAGAATATATATGTTCAGTATGATTTACCAGATATACTTTAGCAGAATAGGATTGTGGAAAAGTGAAATCATACTCTTATGGATATGATTATAAGCATGATGGGTTATTCTTTTGTACCCAAATCAATGTAATGAGAAGCTTTGATTACAATTGTATATATCTTGCATAGGGTTTCTAATAAATTAATTTCATTAACTTTTTTTAGTTATGGACTAATAGGAAACCCGACTTAAGATATTTACATATTTGGGATTATCCTGTAAAGATAAGGATCTTTAATTCATATAAAAAGAAATTATATTCAATAACTATTTTTGAATATTTTATTATTTATTCAAAAAGTTCAAAGGGGTATATATCTTATTGCCCTAATCATAGTACGAATCTGGTAATATAAGATTCCTAAAAAATAATGAATTAATGA